TCGCTCGGGGCCCTTCTTTTCTTTTGTTCTCCGGCGCCGAATTAATTTTCTCTAGACTTTAACAATGGCGCTGCTGAAGAAACCCTCTTTTTTTCTTATTTTCTGGTTACTTACGGTTCACCAGGAAATCTAACATTTGCCATATTATATTATACAGAGTGCGAAATTTGTTGGCAGTACTGCCACGACTGCCACTGGCAGCTGCCAATTTCGGCAGTCACTTGGCAGTGGCAGTTACATTTTTCAAGGGCTGGCAGTAACTGGCAGCTGCCAATCTACTGCCACTTCGAAAGATATTAATTTCTTTCTAAGTTTTCTTTCTAGAACCACAAAAAACAACCCTTATGATCCAAATTCGCTCCCGAGACCTATATTATTCAATCTTTTTAATCAGAAGAGACATTTATATCTCAGATATCGTCTCTTTTTTTATGTTTTACATAACAAAAAGACTGTTTTGAACTTAGTTTGATTTTAAAAATTTTTAAAAATAGTACCGAAATTGGCAGTTTTTGGCAGTCAACTGGCAGCTGCCATTGGCACCTCCCGATTTTGGCAGTTACTTGGCAGTGGCAGTTGCAATTTAGAAAAGGCTGGCAGTCACTTGGCAGTGGCAGTCGCCATTTAAAAAAAGCTGGCAGTCGCTTGGCAGCGGCAGTCGCCATTTTCTTTCAGATTTCGAACTCTGATATTATAGGCTAAAGTCGTTTTACTTTTAACCCTAACAAATCATTACAAAAACTTATAAATGAAACTGATGTTTAACCCGTTAACTGGGCATCCGATCTTATGCGTTAACGGGCGCGTGGCTGTCTAAAGTCCACGCACCTTTTGGTGTTTTTTGAGAATAAGGGATGACAAAATAGAATTCTAAGAAGACAAGATGATTCAAAAGCGTCTTCTTTTTCTTCTAGATGTAGTTTTATTCTTTTTATGATTCGTTAAGGGGTTGAAAATTGAGGTCAAAGTTGCGTTATTTTCGGCGCTGAGATTTAAAAAAAAGGGAAAGAAGGGAAAAGGGGGATACCCTCCGTGTGCCGGGAAAACCTCTCGGCCAAAATCCCGGCACACGGAGGGTGCCGTTCTAGAAATCCCAAAAAGCCGTTGATTTTGACCAAAAAACTCTTCATATCGAGTGTTTTTGAAGGAAAACTAATTGCAAAATAAAAATCAAGACAGTTTAAGTCATTTTTCTACCTAACCCTAACCCAAATAAAAGAAGAATATAGTCGTAAAAGATTTATAACCTGTTTGAACGTCATTAGAGTTAAATACAGATCTTTGAACTAATTTCATGAATTAAAATTCACCACACTCTTATCAGAATAAAAGATTGATTTATCCTTTGCACTCGTATATAGAAATGCATCGCCAAAACAATATCGTTCTCTATAATGACCAAATATAATAGAAAAACCCTTTACAAAACCCTTCAAAAGCCGGAAACAGGGAATTTCTAGAACATTTCGGATTCGACCCTCCGTGTGCCGGGATTTCAGAGTTTTTCCCGGCACAAGGAGGGTACCCGGGAAAAGGCGGGCGATTTGTATTACGCTTTCCCTTTTTGTCGCTGACTGAAATTTTTCTTTGGCTTCTCCTGAGCAGAATTTCAGGCCGATTTTTTTCAAATTTATTCCAACTGACAGAGAATTGATTGAATTTTCCAGAAATACAAAAATTTAAGATAAAAATAGAATTTCGCCTATCTTATCGCTCTCCAAAGGCTGCGTGGCCGTGAGACAGCCACGCGCCTGTTAACGGGTTAACAGCTTCAACACATTTCGAGAACATTTCGAATTTGACCCTCCGAATCCCTGGATATTGTAATCCCTAGAAATTTGTAATCCCTGGAAATCCCTGGAAATTTGTAATGAAACAGATTTCGCTTTTATTCAACTTCACCCAAATATTTTATAATTAAATGTATGAATCCTTTTTGAATGGCATAAATTTTGAGGTTGTAGGTGCTCATGAGTCATGAGGATACTTTTACCCTCATTTGCTCTCATCAATCGACGAGGGAACCAGTACTACGAGGGATCTTTTTTTATTGTCTTTATATACAAAATGTCATTTTGACAGAAAGTTAATAAGGAGTTTCTTAAGTTTTGATATTTAAACATTCTGACAATACAAGATAAAAGCTTCAAGGCGATTGAATGATGTATTGGATTGAATTATTTTATACAAGGCTAAGGTTTTCTCATATACGGTATTATGATTAAGGCTCAGTCACCTGATTAAAGTTAGGTGTTATAACGATCAAAAAACGGAATGAAAAAAGTGTCATCGTCGGGATTCAAGCACGGTATGGCATCATTATAAAGAAGGCTTCATTATAAAAATAGCATCATTATAAACGGCTTTATACGGCTCGTGCTGGATAAAAATTTTTCAAATAGAGTTAATTTTGCTTTTATCGGATTCAGCGTGTCCGAAAACCTAGGGAAAAATTGTACTTTTGACTTCTGGCGTGAAATAGTGATAAGCGTGGCACTTTAAAAGTGAAAAGTATGCCACTTTTGGAAACAGATTTCTAGCGATGCGTCATCGATATTAAAATTCAAATCAAACAGACTTTTAGATAATTGTCTAATCTAGTTGGCACTTTTAAAAATCTTTAAAAATAATGTTAACCCTACTTATCGGGCGCTCAAAGATGACCCATCTGAAATCAAGTGAAAATCTAGGCCCGCCTGGTCCCCAACGGGACTCCACAGCAGACGCAAAATGAGGCCGGGCGTTAGGCATCATCGCCCGAAAAGTTGGGTAAACATTAACTTTTAAAGATTTTAAAAAAGTGCCAACTAGATTAGACAATTATCTATAAGTTTGTTCGATTAGAATTTTCATATCAATGACGCATCGCTAGAAATCTGTTTCCAAAAGTGGCTTACTTTTCACTTTTGAAGTGCCGCGCTTATCGCTATTTCACGCCAGAAGTCAAAAAGTAAAATTTTTTCCTAGGTTTTCGAACACGCTGAATCCGATTAAAGCAAAATTAACTCTATTTGAAAAATTTTTTATCAAGCACGTAAATTTCGATTTATTTCGTCCATAATAAACAGGAGAGTTGAAGTCATAACTTTTCGATCCGAGATTCAACTCTAGCATTGGAAAATATTCTTACAATCAGAGTTGCAAATTTTCCTAAATTTCTGCTGAGCTGAGCGGGCCTTTTTCAGAAGTCATTGTCAACGACTCATTGTCAATGAGTCATTGAGCAGAGCTGAGTTGAGCTGATCTGTTTCAAAGGTAAATTAGTTGAGATCAGCTGGGCTATCCATTTTCTTTAGTTTATTGAGCTCAGCGAAAAATTCGCCAGAAGTGAAAATTCGCCAAAAGCGAAGAATCGCCGAAAGCGAAAATTCGCAAAAAGCGAAAATTCGCCGATATTGAAAGATAAATTTGAATAAAACGCGATGTTATAAGATGAACATTCGGATAGGAGTGTTAAACTCCTACCCTACTAAGCTTAAATAAAGCTCAATTATACAATGTATATAAGAACATATGGAAAATGAAGGGGAACGCGACTCCAAAAAATTGAAAAAAGCCACGCAATTCAATTATGCTCGAAGATATTGTAATGCCAGGTGTTCGCGTTGCAGACATCGTTTTTTGCGTTTGAATACAAGTGCTCTTGATTTATTATCTGATTTTCTGATTCTTGAAACCGTTATTTTTCATCAAAGAAGATATTGTAAGAAAATGAATTGAGAAAATGGCCCATCACTAATTTTGGGCCATCAGTAATTTGGCGGTTTCCACGAACAAGTGTCTACTGAGCCGCTACTGTACCGGTTAAAAAGAATGCAACTGTAAAAAATTTTTCCTTTGAAATTCGAAATCCCATCGTTTTTTACACTTAAAAAATCCCAAAGTGCATTCGTTTTTTTTCTCCTGGTAAAAATGCTGAAAAGAAAATAAAAGATTAAATAAAAAATACAGATATCAGTTTATTTTTCTTAGCTTATTCTTGCATATCTCTCATAATTTAACGCTTTCAGATGTTTTCGAAATAAATCGTGATTCAATGACGTTCGGGTTTTCCGAAAAAATCTATTCGACACTTTGTATACATTTTCAAGGATTTTAACGAGTTATTTTTGCCAAAAATGTTTATTTTGACGTAACAAAAGCTAAGAAAATATTCAAAGAAACGCATCAGAAGACTCAAATTTAAGTAAGTTTGAGAGTATATGCAGCTGGACACAGATACCACGTGTTTGGCTTCATATTTCCGTATTCAAAGTTGACAAGTGTCATTTTCATTCCATTGTCATCGACAACTGATCAAAACTTTTTGTTTACTTTTTCCTTTGTCCCTTTCAAAATAATAGCAAGCAGTACAAATTTGGTGAATGATACAAACGGCGAGAATTTACAGCGAAAACTACTGTAAATTACGATTCCCTGAATACGATTGAACAGAGCTGCTGTCACGATCGAAGAGAGCTGCTGATACGATTTTTGCTGATATATTCTAAGGACGGGTTATAAGGTCCTTTATTATCAATTTATCCAGGGTAAACCTAAGCAAGCGGAGTTTTACCATAAGTTGAACCACCGACAGGTGAACCTTTAGGATCAGTTTTTGCACTTAAAAACGGACCTATTTTTTTCAAAAAGACCTCATTTTTCTGAACGCTTCAACAGTGGCTGAAACTTATTTTAAAACTGTTGTCGATTTGAGCAGAACGGAGCTCGTGAAAATTTACGATTCACTTGATGGGCGAGTTTTTCCAACCCCCATTCCAATAAGTGATAAAGCTTCCGTGGTTGCGAATATTCTTCATTTGGACGACTCTATCCTTGCTCGCGGAAAGAAATACTTCTTCAAAAAGGATAAAGAAGGCTTTATTGAATATCTACCCACCTTTGCCACTGATCATCCAAATAAAGCAGATTCGGTTGAACAGAAATATGCGAAAAAACATCACCGACTTGACCTTGATCGAATCAAGACATCAAAAGCGGCAAAGGATATCAACTCCTTGATGGCGAACCTACCCATCACTGACAGCGACATCGAGGACGAGCTCGATCTCTCCGACGATGATTCTGTCAATGAGGCGGATGCAACGGTTATTCCGAATGCACAAAACTCAGATACTCGCCCGAATATCAAGAAAGAAAAGGCAGAATCAAAGCCAAAAGTGCAGAAACCAAAATCTGCAGCGAAATCAGCTCCACCAATGACGACGCCGATGCGAACATCATCAACATTGAAAGTCAAGCCGCCAAAATATGATGGAACTATCCCTATATAGTGGGACTATACTGGCTCGAGCTAAAGATTAAAGACTACAATCTATCTCGGTTTCTCTCTCTGACTTTGATAGTCAGTCTCTGTTCAAATCTCTAGTTGTATTTTCGGGGGTGATTTTCAGACGAGAGTTTTTAGGCGAGTGTGTAGTTTTATTTCAGATTGAGAAGAAGGCGAGCGGTTAAGCTCTGGAGCTCTGGAGAAAAGGCACAGCAGAGTTACACTTTTCAAAGATTGAACAGTAGTTATTTTGAAAGAATTTACTCGCTAGAGTTTAGTCCCCATATTTCTCCCCTCCCTGGATTTTTGGAAAATTAGATTAGGTCACAAGTTCAGAAGCTTAATCAAGCATGTTGGAGAAACTCTCTCTTTTGATGGTCATTTCATTTCATTTTCACCGGAAGCGCCGGTTTTGACTCTTTTATTTTGAACGCTGACTTGGACTCGTTGCCTAAATTCCAAAATAAAACTTTTTAGTATTTAAAGGAGAAGGTTAGGGCACTTCAAACACTTTTTTTTTCTTTTTGGTTTTTCGCAAGCTACTGTAAGCTTTTAAAGGGAAAGTTTTAACTGAAGCGCAGTTAAACATAGGTTTCAAAGGTGTGAAGTTTTTCACAGCGCGGCGTCCAATCGCGGCATGTGGTGCATCGATACGGCTCTTGAGGAGCCCGCTCGGACAATGCGCACCTCATCTTGCTGTCGATTTTGTTTCCGGCGATTTCGTCTGTAGAGAAAAATTGTTGCAGCAATTACCAAGAGAAGCGCAATGGAACTGAAACTGATTGGTAAATGCTTACCTATAATTATCTCCGTCGTTGCAAGCTTGTTCATGGCTCTACTATCATCCGCTAGGTCAGTAAGATTTAAATTCTTGAACTCTTCAAAGTCCACGTTGCTCAGAAGTGCATTTTTATCAATCACGTGACTTGTGAGTTGAAATTTGATTTTAGGCACTGTGACTATTTCTTCTTGTGCGACGTTTCGTGGTGCGGCGATTCCTGGTGAATAGGGCGATGTCGAGCCACAGATTAGTTTCATGCTTTCTTGTGAACGCCTAAGTATAGTTACATTTCGGTTATTGGATGGATTATGTTCAAGCACATTGGTATTCTAATCTTGTTGTTCATCACTTGGCGGACTTTCTCGAAATGTGAGATAACAATGTTATTCTCGTATGTATTAAACAGGCAAGGTTGGTTGGACACGAATGCCTCAGTATGACATGCCGACATTTTCCCAGTCAACACGCCAGACGCACACAAACTTGAAGGCAGAAGCATTGTATTCGAGCAAAATATAGATTTCGAGAACTTTGATATCTGCTCGCATTCTTGCAAGTCAAGGACAGTATTGTTTATCACACTTATTTCGTGCGGAACCTTTCTGGTCAAATAATAGTAGGTTTCTGTATCTTTGTTCTGTGAAATCGGAATTGGTCCCGACATGACTCTTAGCGTTTTGTCAAACTTCATAAAAACTGGTGCTTTATACTCGAAATGGATGCGAATTATTGGAAACTCGCCTGGTCTTAATATGGCTGACACTCCGCGATATTCCCTATTTCCTCGGTAGAAGTCCACGCACGCTTGTTCCATGTTTTTGTTTGTCATAGAACAGTGTTTAATGAGTAACGCACTTTCTTTACCCGTGGGAAAAACGCTGAAAGATCAAGCAATGATTGACCTTACTTGGATTTGATATTCAAGGAACGACGTTTTTATTTCTTGTTCAAGATGATCTTCAAGATGGGCTAAATTGGTGGCACAGTTGTTGTTGTTCAATCTATTCAAGTCTTTTGTTATGTTTGTCAGAACTACATCGATTTTCTGGAACTTTTTTAAAATGTCTTGGTAGGTTTTAGCTTCAAGAAATTCCGACTCATGCAGTTTCGCGGCTTCCGCGTCAAATCTAGCGACTGATTCTGATGAATGGAATATCTGATGGGTCTCTGCGCCGATAATACCACTGAGAAGCGCTGTTACGCCGAGGAGCATCGCTTGGCGTCTTTTCCGCTCGTGATTGTACACTGGAGCAATTTGTACGATCTTGAGTTTTGTGCAGTCATCGTTGAGCTTGGTGACTTTACCGTCTATGACCACCTTAGATTCTGCTATACCTTTGAATGCTAGCTGAACATTTACAAAGTGTTTTTTTATTTTCTGTTATGTCTGTGAGTGAACCTTCAATTTTTGCACTCATCGCCCTGAGTTTTGAGCTTATAATGTCGACCTCATGAATGGGGATTTTTTTACCGTCGAAAAATGCTCGGGCCCAAATAAACTCAGTTTTTAGATACGCATTTCCAAGTACAAATATCTGGTTTGGAATCGAATTAAGCTCAAGAGTGTATGATAATTGATTCCAGCCGGCTCTAACTTGGCAAAACCGCTGGGAAGGGGTCAGTTCGTAATATTCATCGATAATTTTTCCTTGATAAATTACATTCGCTACTTTTCTGTTTTTATCTTTATTTGGCGACCCTGCGGTAACATACACCTTTGTCGGGCGAATCAGCTCAATATCAGGCTGGAAAAAAAATTTTCCATTTTTTATTTGATAATCCGAGGTTCTCTGATATTGGATGTGATGCCAATCCGCTACCACCGAATTAAGCTGGTCTGTTTCATGCTCTGTGATATTTTGCGTGATATTGTAGCAATTTGGAAAGTCAAATTTTTCAGTGATTGGTGCAGGAGAAATGCTTATGGCTATTTCTCGATTTTCTTCCTCAGTAATATAGTAAGCCTGTTTTGTATGGTTAGTCGTATACACATTTTCAAATGCACGCGTGTAAGTAAATAAAGTAAAAAGAACAATTCTACTTGCGAACTTTGCTCCGTAAGTTGTAGCCATGATTCTCTTCTTCAGTCAGCGCCTCGCCAGCCAACTCCAGCGGCGACTTCGCTATTTCTTTTGGCTGAAATAAAGGGTTAAACAAGTAATCATTTTCAAGAAAAAGAGTTTCGCTTTTTAGTAATTTTTCATCTTTTGGGGACTACTGGATTTTGATAAGATGCCTCTTATTTCTAGTGATTCTAAGACCTGTAAGCATATGCTTAAGCTCGATACCGCCAAAGAGGCCGACTCGAACCACCTAAAAAGGGCCTTAGTTTTTTCTGCGGGGTTTGCACAAATAATTAGCTCGAGAATTTTTTGCACACAAGTGCACAAAGTGATTTAGTAAGTTTCTGAAAGCATTTTTTCTGTAGATTAAGAATATCTTTGATTTAGACTTGAGGAAGGTTGAGATCAGAAGTTATCGAGAAAAACTATAATCTTGAAGAGGAAATTGGCATAAGTGATGGAAAACTACGTTGGATAGATATAAAATTATGGAATAAAATGTTCCTTATGATGTGTTTTATATACAGTCAGGTCCTGCAATTGCGCGGTTTTATTTTTCGGGATTTTCGCCTGAAACCACGTAATTGCAAGCCGTCAATTTTTTTGAAAATGGGACAATTTTATTGACCTTTTTCGCCTCTTTTCTGCGTTATATATAGACGCATGCTGAAATCTTACGCTATTATTATTTCTTTGTCTGTAGAAAAGTAAAAAATTGTTTTCATATTCAATTACTGTTCTCATTTGGCATTTTACCATCAAAAGAAGCACTTTACGAAAATGCAAAAAATTTCGAGATTTTCGCCAAAAACCGCGCAATTGCAGTTCGCGCAATTGCAAGACCTGACTGTATATAAATCGATTAAAACTGGTTTTTTAAACTTTCAATTTTGCTCATTTTTTCACCGTTCACCCCCTAGCGATGACCCAAGTTTGCAGAGGTGCTCTTTGCAACACACAGATCACCCTCTTTGAGGTCTACTCCTGTCGGCTCGGTCAAAATAGGGAAATCCAGAACTTTTTTGAATCCGAGACTCAGGTGAATCTCGTTCATGAGCTCCATATGACGATCTATTCGACCATCAATTTTTTCTCGCGGCTAAAGCGCTAAATGATCGAACAGTGTTGGTGGCGGAATTCCAAGCAGGCATTCATTTGGGGTTAATCCGTCTAGCGCTTTTCTCGGGCGATTATTGAGAAGCCCAACAGCCATCCTGACAGCCAAATTAACCTCCTCAAATGAAAATTTCTGCGTACGGAGAAGTCCCCTTAAGTCTCTGTGACTTCGTTAAGCCCTGTAAGCGGCTGAATTGTAGCATGAAGTTGTCGAATGTGCCACATTTAATTTTTTATAGACTTTCTTTATGCAACGACTGACGAATTCGGACCCGTTTGACACGACCGTAGAAAAATTTTATATTTTGTAAATATTTTATACATGAATTTTACGCCTTTTGCAGCACACCTTTCTTATTCTTTTATCTACGCGCTGACCTGATTCTACTCGTGGGAGTGACGACCCGCTGATTTGAATCATTGACCAACTGACCCACTTTACCCAGCTGATTTTACGCTTGACACATTTCTGACCCTTTATAAGCGACTCTGCCAAGACAAAATTATTCAATTTCACAATAAAACCAATCGAAAGGTTCAATTTTTTCTTTGCTTTTCTACAGACGCATCATGGTGACCAACGTTGCGATTCGACACCCCTTCGAACTTCTTGAGGACTTTTTAAATACAGTTATTTATGGAATTTGTGGACATTTTTTGTCCCCTAGTTTTCTGAAAAATGTCCACAAATTTGATAAAGAGCCTCGAAAAAAATGTCCCAACGAACTTGTTTAAATTTTTTCCTAGAAAGAAAATTTGATGATTTTTCTCAAAAAATAATGAGAAAAAGAATACAAGATTGAATCTAAAGACGTAAATCTAAACAAAAATTAAGATTTTTGACGAAAAACAGTTCTTTGCAGGTAAAATTGGCTTCAATTACGAAAGTAAGACCATAAATTTAGAAGTAAAAGATATCAATTGAGAAAAAATGTCCACAAAGTTGATACCCTCTTTTTTTGAATATGTCCCAAGAAAACCCCTTATAATCTGAAAAATGTCCACAAATTTGATGTCCACAAATTCCATAAAAAACTGTAACAC